ATGGCACAGAGTCAGCTGCATCAACAGCAGGGTGATGTCATCATAACGGTTTAACTGCGGTGGCTTTTCCTTTTCATGCAGGTACTTCACACGTCGTTTCTCAGTTTTCTCCATTTTTTCTCCCCTTTGTGACTTGTATAAAAACAAATTCAGTTGTCAATATTCCAAGAGATGATATTCTTTTCATACACGTGTTGAAACGACGGGGCGGTCGGGTAGCCTAGCATCATTTGGGAAATTTTACGACCGCTTCGATTGATCAGGTCTCTCGATTTGTGGTTTTTCCCAACCACTGTTCTTAAACAATAATTAAGCTATTCGAAAATGTGTCTATTCTTCAGTATCGATTAACAGCGATGTTGGTGTCATCGATACAATACGATGTCATATTCATTCTCACATATCGATACTGGATTGGGTGGTCAGGCGCGCTGACTTGGTTGATTCACGTCATCGTATACCATTTGCATGGATTGATGCTCATGATGTCAATCACTGGATTGTCTGGTCCAGACTCGATTATTTACAGACCGTCGTCATATAGCTGGAATATTGCTGATTGTGGCGTTAAACAACAAACAAACATATCGAAAAAACGATTTGTAAGACCCACGTTACTAATTCTTGGTGTGTCTGAGCGATGCCCTTCGCTCGTGGGTTTCGTGAAGGAGTAACATTCAGCATTTCTCACCTTCTTCCAACATTAAGTTTGTGCTATAACTTAAATATTGCGACGCAACTTCCCCGTGCTTGATTGTAACGGTACAGTATGAGTCTTTGTCATACAGTCGTATTATTTGGATTTATTTTATATTTTACGGGAGCTTCTATAACTATTTAACGTCACGTGATGGCGTGAAAGGGACATCTTGCGTGGGTTTCGTTGAATAATGTTTCACAACACGCGCCCGATGATGCCCTTTTAACACAACATGTATCTTGGAAATTATATCGAGGTAAACCGGTCCCTGTACTGATATATCAGAACGTGGGTATAACGAACTACAATAAACATAATTGCAGTATTGGCTTGTATTAGCAGTGATCACTTCATAACAATAATTGTGTTAAAGGGGAAGTGTACACGCAAAAATCACTTTCTTTCTTTTTCTAAACAAAACGCAATTTTAGAATTAATTAGTATCTGTGTTTGAAAATATACACTCATTTTTTTCACAGTGAAAGTAGGAAGCTCACAATAGTGTGAAAATGATATGCCGTTATGAGGCCTTCGTTTTTCGAGCTAAACAGGCCTGAGTTATCCCCCTTAGATTATGACGTAATTGGTGCCAATTCAACTGGGTCCCTGTCTATTCTCAACGCAAAAGATATCATGTACCAGTTTGCGGTAAAACAACATGGCCTACGACACACTCCGGCGCAGTGGTGACTCAGCATAACACTATGCTGGCTGGCATCTGAGACGCTAGAATCACACACCTAGACCTACAGCACGTGAAGCGGCTCTAACAAAGCATGATGACGTCATAATGTTTATCAATTGGCACCAATGACGTCATATTGCAAGGGGCATAAGCCATGGTGTTTTTGTTGTGGAAATAGAACACTTGGTAAATGTGAAAAATATAAATCGTTTTAATGCGAAAAATATGTTAATTAATTGTGATATTTTTATATTTTTGTCTATGACACTTCTAGGTTAACACTTTTAATGTGGAAAAAGTACAAGAAAAATAGGTTAATTTCCGTGTGAACTTGCCCTTTAACTTGTGCAACACATGCATGTTGGCGGACGTCAGGGGCTTATGTCTCAATTGTTTTAAATTACTGAACCAGAGACACGGGTCAACACACTTGAAGATTACGGGGTAGAATTGGTCTTCAGCAACCCATGCTTGTTGTAAGAGGCGACTAACGGGATCAGATGGTCACACTTGTTAACTTGGTTGATACATATCTGTTGCGTAGATCGATGCTCATGATGTCAATCCCTGGATTGTCTGGTCCAGACTCGAATATGTTTAGACTGCCGTCATATAGCTGGAATATTGCTGAGTGCGGTGTTAAACAACAAACAAATAAACAAACAAATCATAATATCAATATCAATCACAGGATTTGCTGGTCACGAATTTACAGGTCTCCGTCTGATATAGGGCTGGGACGAGTCCAAATTTACTACCCGGGTGCCCACCCCCCTATTACCCGACCCTACCCGGGTACCCACCCCCCTATTACCCGACCCTACCCGGGTACCCACCCCCCTATTACCCGACCCTACCCGGGTACCCACTGTATGTCTCAGGAGATGTCTTAAAATGTCCGATTGGGAACAATTTTAGCATAGCCCTGGCAAAACGTATTTAGATACACGTATTAAACAATCTGGTCATTCACACACTGAAGTTGAATTAAGTTATAAATTTATTCAACCATATGAAAAAACAAAAGGAATGGGTGCATAGTTAGAAAGAAATGGGAACATTAGTGACTTGTAGTGTAACCATAGAGTTCCAGATATTTTTGACATTACAATATCACGTGACTAACCACGGGTCCGGGTAGTCCTGTATGTACCCGGGTCCTACTCAGTACCCACCCGACCCGAGTACCCGAGTTACCCGTCTGGCCCTAGTCTGATACGTATACATGTAGGTAGCTGGAATGAGTGCAGCGTTAGGAAATACACAGAAAACTTAAAATTACACGCCCTGAGATTCCCTGAAGGGGACGTAAAGTGTCGATTTCTATAGTGACGTGAGGGAGTGTTATTCGGATGATACTTCCAATCTGGATACTGTAGAACGCATGCGATAATATTCAGTGGATAATTTATTCCGGGTCGTTTTAGAAGTATAATACGGCTAATCGCCTGAAAATAGTACAGCCGAGAATCGTTAACTACATTCAAATTAACTAGAAAATTACCAGATCCTGCTAATCGGTCCAGAACGCTGAACAAAGGAAATTCCTTTGTCAAATATAATTTCATGATAAATTAACGTTTAAAAAATGTGATCGAGCATTGACAGATGTTACTGCAAATATATACGTTGATCGGTGCAGTCATTCTTTATTAATAGTACAGTTCCGTAGTATGTTCCGGGTAATTTAAATCAGTCGTTTTGCTTCACAACATAAACAGTTTCTGGGTAGCCGAAATCATTTAGCCAACACGATATGACCTTTCACCTCGACAGGAAGTTCAAGCAATCGGTCATTGTCTGCTTGTGGTGGGAGAATGCCGAACGGCAACACTTTTCTGTATTGAGTCAAGTTCGTTGAAGTGAATCGAATTATGGCTTCTGCTTTAAACAACTACCAGGGTGAGTACGCATAATTAAGAATCCTGATATATTTTTTATAGTTAATAGTTTAATAGTCTTAATAGAGTACTAGTCTTAATAGAGTACTAGTTTTAATAGTATAATTGTTTTAATAGTTGATGCGGCCAGACTGGCTGCTTACCATAGCATTTCTCAGATTGGATTGATAGTATTTACTCTTCTAGTATTGTAACAATGCACTCCCTGTACGCATTCCGATATTAGATGGGGTAAGATAATGTAACGTATCACTGGTTCATGAAATGGCAAAGGGCGGATAACATACATCGAGTCAGTGACGGGGGACGAGCTATAATGGATGTATAATAGCTGTTGTTAAAGGGATAATATGAAGTATAATACCATAGTAAATTATCTTGACTTCGATTTGATTTTTCTGCCGCCAAGGCCACAAATAACAACAAGTGAACCACACGAGGTGCCGTCAGCGCCTCAATACATGAATCTTATGAAACTGTCACATGGCGTTCCCGGGCCATTAATTCAAGCTTTAAGCTTATCAGTGGATACACACACGACCACCCCACCTGCCACTGATTACTGGTGGCTGTGTACACTGATATACAATATATATATTGAATAAATTATTTATCATGTTTGTTAGCTCATTTAATTATTTATCATTATATTTAATGTTGTCATCACTGTGCATCCGTTCAGATTGACAAGGTTCAATTCACCTGTATTGGATCTGGGATTTGTTTAAATGTTTTACGCGATGGGATTGTCACCTAATGGGAACTTCAGAAAATATTATTCAGAAACTATCCCTCTCAGTTGAGTCTTACGTTAGCGATATTATATTAAAAAATGAACTGTTCTGGCGCTAAGTCAGCACTCAAAGATGGTTTTATTTTTTAAAACATGATTTGAGATAAAACGTTTAAAAATAATTACTTAAAATACGCATAATAGACAACTGTTGATTGGTATCTTAGACATCTCCTTTTAAAATATTTTTTCTTTCTTTTTATTTCGGCCAAACTTTACAACATTTCAAACATGGTAGGGGTCACGTGATTGCAAATTAATTTCTTATCCGTGTCTTCATTGAACCAAATTTATTATTACACAAAATTACCCCGCCACTCATTCTTTCAATTTTTAATTACATAAAGAAAAACTCCGTGCACTTTTCTTTTGATCCTCAGTATATTCATATTTTGAATATATTTTTTATATATATTTTTAATATATATATAAACGCAAAGTAATGTATTCCGTATTAGTTATTTTTGTATATTTTATACAATATTGGTTCGATCCCCAATTTTGGATTTTATATGGTTGGATTAATGACTCATCCTCGAAATTTATCAGAGTAAGAGTTACTTCCCTTGAGCAATTATTGCGTCGCCGACTGCACTGGGAAAACTCAGGTAGAGTGTGACTTAATCTGTTTGGCTTGCTGGGTTGTCGTTAAGTTTTTGGCGCCTAGGGTTGTCGTTATTTGTTGAACAAATTCACACATTATATTGATCACGAACAAACTTTGTTTGATGAGTCACTGCTGATAAGTGTGGACATTCCGCATGGAGTGACTCCATGGATATAAACGCATTCCTCGCGTATCGAATTACACAGCCGCGGTGTCCCGTCAGTTAAGTCTGATGTACGTGTTCATGGTTCGTAGGTTAACTACTTTCCATGACGTCATTCGTATTTATGATACACATGGAGTTGATAACAGCCAGTGATAACAGGAAACTGTATCACGCAGTTGCCCGTTCACTGTCGGGGTATCAGTATCACGCTGATACTGAATCAGATTAAGAGTACCTTTTACCGCTCTGTAGATACCTGTACCCCCAGTAAATATGTCCCGTCGACACCTACTTGTGGTAACCATGGCCGGAGGTGTTTGAAGTGGCTGTAAAATGTAGACAAGGTTTTTGCACCAGCAGGTAAGTGGGAGCTTCAACACTGCGTCTAATATACATCACAAATGTCTATATCTACGAAGCATGATACGGAGTTTTATCCCTTTGTAATATGCTCTTAAAAAAGTAGGTTACTCGGAAATAAGTTCAGTTTCCAAAGTTGTAAGAAATATTAGTTTCTAGTCAATGTTGTATGATAACATAAAACGAATTGGGTACACAATACAACCGGTAGTAGAGTATGACAGTGGATGTTATGTCGTCAACGATCTTAAAGGACGATCGAGTTAAGATGGGGAATGTCAAGGTTGACGTTTTTGATCAGTAGTGCGTAATACCGCCACATTTTGTCAAACATTCAGTCCCTTGACGGGGCAAAGTGCGTATGAGTCTCCCAATGGATTGGAGGAGTCTATCCCACGCCTCTTGGAGGGCTTGGACAAGTTCAGTTAACGTGGTCGACGGCCTGTGACGTTGACGCACACATCTCGCTATCATGGCCCATACGTGTTCAATGGGGGAAAGCATTGCTTGCCATGGCATTCTATGGAGTTTGTGGTGGTGGAGTTGATTCGTGCTCGGAGAGCACGGGCGTTGTCGTCCTGAAAGACAAAACGTCAACCCACACGCCTTGCAAACGGAACAACCAATGGTGTCAGTATGTTGCCCCGATAGTACTGTCGAGTGACCACAATATGGAGTGGGGCTCTCTCTTTCACAGTGATGCCACCCCACACCATAAACGATCCACCGCCAAATCTATCATGTCTCAGATTGACATTGGCTTGACGTTCATTTCAACGTCGCCACACACGTCTGTCAAGGAAGAGGAAAGTGTATCGGGACTCATCTGAAAACAGGACACGTGACCATCCAATATTACCCCAGTCTCGACGTTGTGTGCACCATTTAACGTCTGTTGGCAATTTGATGATTTGTATGGGGCGGCACAACACGTGGCCTTCGAGGATTGAGATGAGCTGCTTGTTGACCATTTCTAACCGTCTGACCCGTAACTCGTACTCCTGATGAAAGTTTGCAGCTAGTTGGGAATCTCCATTTGTGTTCGATATCGTAGTGTCTGGTTTCGGATCAATCGATCCCGCACTCTTGTCGTCAGTTGTTGTCCAAAGGGGACTTTAATATCGCCGCTCGCCATGTTAAACCATGGATTTGTTAACCTCATTGTGTCATCCCACAGCGAGGATGGACGTCCCTAACGGAGGAGAGTGATGACGTCTTAAGCTATAGACAGGAACAGGGACCAGCCCTGAACTATTTTTGAATGACTGGTGTTTTTATAGCATTGGTTTGACCGTCGATGAATCTAGAACAAAGGATAACAATCAAAGCCATGCAAGGAAGTGTTATGAAGCGGAAAGAAATAGAAAGTTTGAAACGCACGCGCGCTACCCTGGCCTTTATATTGAACAGAGACACTTTTGTAATCAACCGAGACCCGAGAAGACCCACTAGTGAATGGGTAGTTGTTCCAGCAATACATACTTGATTATACCGTTCTGTCAACATGAGTCTTGAGCCGCATAAAGGCAAACTATAACCGACTCGGCCCATTTCGATAAAAAATATAAGTTTGGAGTTGTTTTTTTAAACTAATAATAAGATAAAATCAAGTATATCATCGAGGGTACACGTATTTCAGTAGATTTTATTTTCTACGGAAATGAATTATTTTCCCAGCTCTTTTCATACCGTGTTAATACCGTAACCAGTGTAATTAACAACTCACCGTCTCCTCAGAATAACCTATAGAAACAAGAAGCTTTAGTCGCTTGACCTTGTTTAGGGACAATACGTCAGTATTTACTCCGCCTTATGAATGAAAAAAATTGCGAGCACATGTTCACCTGACCTCGTCGGTCTAATAGGGAGAATGTGCCCCGTCATTTTGTATCCACAGACACTGCTGCCTTGAGAGATATGTTGATCATGTTTGTTTGTTTGCTGTTTAACGCCGCACTCAGCAATATTCCAGCTATATGACGGCGGTCTGTAAATAATCGAGTCTGGACCAGACCATCCAGTGATTGACATCATGAGGATCCGATCACGTTAGTGGACTTTTACGGCAAGCATGGGTTGCTGAAGACCCATTCTACCCCGGATCTTCAAGGGCCGTTAATCATGTAGGTGAAAGAAGCTGTATTGTAATAGAAATAGAAATAATTATTGTTATGCCTCCTATGTTGATAGCAAAATATCAGGTGAAACATTTTACAAACACAATACCGATTGTCTTCGTTTTAAGGTGTTCAACACTGAAACTCTTACTTTTAAAGGGCAGTGGACCCAGGTCATTGCTAAATACAACCTCTCGCAGTCACCCGACAGTAGAATCTTACCAGGATTGTAACCACGTGATCATAACTCAATGATGATGTTTGTCGCTGAGCAAACAGACATTTCTTGAAAAGCGCACTTTCCAATTTTTGTCATTGCTGTAAGTAATATCACGTAATATATAGCACACTGTATAAGCAAACTTGCAGCTGTCTTTGTTCATTAATCATCACGATATTTCGTGATTCTGTTTCAAGTGTCGAGGAACTGTGCATTTATTTTACGACGGGAATTTATATAAGGACTGTACTAAAAGTGTACCGATGAAGGGAACAGAATAGAAGACTTGGACATGAACATTCCCCACAGGGATCCCTGGATTCCAGGTCCCAGGCAAGCTATGGTTGTCTTACGAGGTGGCTTACTTGACCCGGTTGTCAAGATCTGTGACTTGGTTGGATGCGTGTCACTGACTCTGACGGTGTGGACCGTACCTCACAGGATCAGACACTGGATTGTCAAGTCCAATTTTGACTATTTAAAGGCAGTCGTCATACAGCTGGACAATTACCTAGTGCAGAGTTAAACAACAAAACAAACAAGCAAAACAATTTAAACTGTAATTTTCCAGAAAGTATATCGGGACGAACTGTGCATATATTTCACGACTGGTGCTTATGAAACGAAGGTAATAGTGTACCAACAAAGAAGTGAGGTGAGGTGAAATTGGGTTTAACGTCGCGTCCAAGATTATTGCGCTTATATAGGGACGTGCATATGTGTGTGTGTGTGTCTGCTTGTACTAGACCGGACTGATGCCGACTTATAGTGCTAGCCCACTGAGATACCATGCCGCAGTTTAACATGAATACCCCACTCAGACACAGTATACTGACTCCGAGCCGACCAGTCCTTGTTTTAGCCCCTTAATGCCGAGCGCCAGACAGGGTAACAACAAGTACCATCTTTTAACGTCTTTTGGTATGACGCGGCCGGGGATCGAACCCCGAACCTTCCGCTCTCCGGACGGACGCTCTACCACTTGACCACGGAGGCGGTCACTAACAAAGAGAATAGACTATCAAACTTGTCATGACACGGAATCGACCGTAGGGACTTCGAGTTGAAACAGGTCCCATGCAAGAGCTATACGTAACCCTTTAACCACCAGGCTACATACCCATCCACCCGCTTCAAGCTCCAGGGACGTCAAGCGGGTGACTTGGATTTGGTTTTGGCTGATTTGACACTGCAGGTGCATCGTGTCAGTGCGAATCGTGTAACCGGACCTGTTTGTTGGAGTTTTCTGGCTACGATAACATGCTTTATCAGACAGACAGAGGAGTAAATACGTCACTAATCCATAGGTCATGTACCCTCCTTCTTCATTCACTACTATTAGCGTAATGCGATTCCCCTTTCCGTCCCTGCACAGGGTGATTATGATTAAGTAGATTACTGAGACAAATGTATTACTCATCTTATCGTTGCTATCTTTTAGGCGTATATATTTTTATACTTGGTTTACAGCCATAGTGTTTGTACGTTCGAATCCCGAATGGGACTCAAAAGTACTTGAATCTGTGCTTTACTTAGAGTGAGTGAGTGAGTTTGGTTTTACGCCACTTTTAGCAATATTCCAGCAATATCACGGCGGGGGACACCAGAAATGGGCTTCACACATTGTACCCATGTCGGGATTCGAACCCGGGTCTTCGGCGTGACGAGCGAACGCTTTAACCACTAGGCTACCGACCGCCCCACTTTACTAAGTGTTATCTCAAATACAGCATTTGATATATAGTGTTTAGGTTCAACAAATATTTTGTTTAAAATGACCTTTTTAAAGCATGTTTTGATGGGTGATATAAAGCAATAGTAAATGAGAGGTTTTTAATAATCTATTCACAGGGCTCTTTGCCTTACCATCGAGTTTTTTGGATGCCTTTTCTGGACTAACATTTGTTTAAAAAAATAGATGTTCTGAAATTTTAGACTCGCGGGTCTGTAATTTATGCATATAACAAACATGAGCTCCACTGGCAACAGTGTTCGTTGATAGTTGATGATACCAGAACATACCAGAACATACCAGAACATACCACAGCTTCGAGAATTATAGGGGGCACGAGTGGCCCAGTCGTCTAAGGCGCCGCGATTCGCTGTGCAGAGTTGCGTCCCTTGGGCACGCCAGAAACCTATGATTGTGGGTTCGAATACCGGTTCGCCCCAATTATGTTTCTAGGTTTGTCAGCACCATACCCGTGCTCGTGGGTTTCACCGAAGTGGTAAACGTCTGAGACCTACATCACTTTGGGCTTTCCTCCCACATTAAGCTGACACGCCGCAATATAACTGGAATACTGTTAAAAGCGGCGTTAAACCCAACTCACTCACTCACTCAAGAATTATAGATCAGTAGGTATATAGTGCCATAGTTGAAGATATAGGACTGCTTTAAGGCTTTCCTGAATTTGCAGCCACCGCCTTATATTTCTTAAACCGCGGTGTTTTGAGAGATCTCATGGGTATAATATTTCGTGTATCTTCTTCATAGCCTGTTTTTTTCTAACATACTTATGAATAATACAATAGGCCAAGGTCATACTAAAAGTCAAACCTTGAAATGCGTGTTGACACTGTAAGCTATGGGGCATTGACTGGCACTGTCTGAAAGAATTAAGGTAAATGACCTTCCCATGAGGTAAAAGGTGTAGGTAGAGGTCAAGTGGGGATATTTAGCTCACCTTCCCTTGCTGTATTTCCTCGCGATTAAAAGTACGTTTGATTATTGTAATTGAATAATATATACAGAGGAATCTGCTCTTGTTTTTCAATAAAAGGATTAAAGGTTTTTTTCATAATTATAAGGCATCGCGTTTAATATCATTGCAGTCTCAACGTGCAAGTATATGTCCGTTTAAAGTGCTAGCCCAATGATATACAATGCCGCAGTTTAACATGGATACTTCACAGACTCATACCGACCACGTAGCGAACACTCCCTGTTTTGTCCCCTTAACGCCGAGCGCCAGGCAGGGTAACAACAAGTACCATATTTTAACGTCTTGGTATGATACGGCCTGGCATCGAGCCGCCGACCTTCCGCTTCATATGTACAAGGCTCAGAATGGCGATTTTTTTGTGATACGTATTTTTTGGTTAAACCTCGGCTGAGGAAGAACGTGTTGCAAAAATAACATGCATGTAACCTCTCTTTAACCACTTGTCACATCGGTTGATCAGGCTCGGTGTCATCGAACCTCGACGGGTTGGACTGATGCTCATAATATGAATAGGTGGAACCATCCATTCGATTATTGTATTGACAGGCCGCCCCATATAAAGGGATGTTGCTGAGTGTGGAGTTTCACGTAAAAAACTAAAAAATTAATTAACTTAAAACTACTTGAAATCTGAAGCTGTTTATGTGGGCAGATGTCACGATCGTATAATAAATATATAAGAATTAGAGTTTTCCTGAAGACATGAAACTGAAAAATAAAATTAAAATGAACATTTAAAAATGTTAAATGATTTTAAGTTGCATGTTTGTATTAATGCTTTAAAAGTTATACATGTAGGTGATACAGCATAGACTTCGCCTTTGAGTGTACACTCATTTGTCATGTAACGAAATATTTGCCACTCGTGCTTGGTGACGTATGCAACCTATGGCCGATGTTGTGGAAGTATAGAATGAAAACATCCATGCTGTGATTCATTTTCTATACAAAACCGGAGTTGTAGGCGTTTTCCTCTGGAGACATTACTCACTAACAACGTCTTGTCAAGACACTCAAAAAGTTGTCTCCAGGAGCATTGAGAGACTGAGTGACTGTAAGTTAACGCCGCTTTAGAACAGCTTTTCAGTCGTCCCAGCCTAATTTGAAAGGACAGGTGACGGTGACCCAGGTCTAGCCATGCTTTGTGCCGTGATGTAAGTCATACCAACAACGCAGCGACAACTGGTCCTATAATAATATTTCTTTCCCTTGGAGATTGTGACACACTTCAGCTCTTTTTCACACACCTCTTGATAACAACCATGCAGCGACTTTGTGGAGCAGACAGGAGTTCCCAACATGAGGAAATAGTGCAATGTGCAGGCCTGTGTTGAGAGTCTGGTGTTTGCAGATGAAACACACATCACATGACGTCAGTGAGTATAATGTTGTGCTGATTAACAGAGCACTCAGCAATATTGTCGCTTAATCACGGTGGCCAACTTTGAAGCAGACACGCCATTGGTTGATGGGTGTCTTGTTTGATGGCATAGCGGAGCATGTTGACCTTGACCTATATTAGTTGCACATCTGTCACTTAACAGTTGTGATCTGATGGCTAGGTTCTAATCCAATTTTGTTCTTGTATACGTTTCATGGTGTGTAAGCACCATACGCGAGTTTGTACCACCATACTACCAGTGTAATCATTTCGACGAGCAGAGTTGCGTCCCTTGATCGTGCCAGATATGACCGTGGGTTCGTTCGATTTGTTTGTTTGTTGTTTAACGCTGCACTTACCAATATTCCAGCTATATGACGGCGGTCTGTAAATAATCGAGCCTGGACCAGACAATCTAGTGATTGACATCATGAGCATCGATCCACGCAATTTGGATACGATGACATGCATCAACCAAGTCAGCGAGTGTGACCACCCGATCCCGTAGTCGCCCCTGACGACAAGCATAGTCGCCTTTTACGGCCAGCATGGGTTGCTGAAAAGCGATTCTAACCCGGATCTACGTGGGTTTGAATCCAGATTCGCCCTAATTTTTTTTCTAGGTTTGTCAGCACGACGCCCGTGCTCGTGAGTTTCACCGAAGTGGCAAACGTCTGAGACCTGCATCACGTCTTGCTTTCCACCTTTATCAAGCCGTGAGATATTCTACAAATCGGCTTTCAACGCAACTCACTCGTTCACTCGCGCACTCTCTCATCATGCTGATGTTGAGTTTTTTAAATAGCATATGGATGAATTACTGTTTAAGACGCTACCCACGCACCAATACAACGTGAACCGTCTGTCAACAGTGAGTGACCACATAACATAGCATATAGAATGATGGCCATCATTAAAGTTACTTCTGAATGCGACTGTTCAGTTCTGCAAAAGCTGGATGCAGGCTCTATGTTAACAAAACAACTACACACATCAATACTGATAAAACACTCAGCTTTATGTCAAGTGGACGTAATTAAGCTATTTCCGAGTTTTATTTGCCTCCAGTAGAAAACGCATAATTTAAAACACTGCCTCAAACGAGCTGTAAAAACATTTCAACACTATTTGTTTCACAAGAGCGTCGACGTTATTTGAGCTATCAAAGACATATAGATACACAGGTGGCGTTGTAAGGAGGGTAACTAGAAACTCTGTACGTAAATCCGGCGCCTAACAATCCCATAACATAAAATGTCTCAACTGAAAGAATATCCATCGTTTTCGTGACCCTGGAACGAGACAGCAGGTTTTAAGAATGTACTTATTACTGTATACAAGTCTTCTCTGTGCCATTGAGTGTAATGTTCTTGCCTTTGTATTGCAGGATCCAAGGATGCCATGTAGGCGGATTTGTACCAGCTGTTCGAGGATGTAAGTAATCATTAACGATGAAGCTGCTGCGAGTGTTGCCCGTTGTGTTATGTATTGTGTATTCTTCGGCTAAAGGGGACTTGCTGGAATTCGATGGGTCTGGCGATATCATTTCCCCCTCAAGGCCCCCGAAGACCAAGGTCATAGAGTTAGGACCAGCCTCTGTTCAGCACATAAGGGCCCGGGATAAGACTGTCAAAAGAACAATGAGAGTGCTTCTTCCGGGGATGATCAGATCCTTTCTGGATACAAATCTTTCGGATTTTATCCAGAAGCATATGGCCAACATTGTGGAGGCCAGACCAGCACAAGACTTGCAGACCAAAGTCCAGAGATTGGAAAGAGTCGTGACCCGTTTGAAGGCTCGTCTCGCTAACGTTGGTAACCGCATGAGACTAATGGAGCGCCACTTCGAGGATCATCTGGAGCGTCACGATTCCACGATGCCCCCAAGATCCACAGAGCCTGCTAGAACATCGGGGTTCGACAGTTCAGGGGAGCTTCAAATAATAGATCCGGGAGATGTTGTCCTTCTTGAAACTGTTCGAAATCAAACTGAGCCAAATGACGCTTCAGCGGGGAAACATGGCCTTCGGAAAACAAGCCCCATCAGCAAGACCGTAAGTTTTTGCCTTAAAGTAATTCATGTTTCATGTCAGCCAGCGATTCAGTAATTCCAATATAACGAATGGATTAAAGTAGAATTAATTTTGTTGACAAAAATGAGGTGAGATAAGGGGTTAAATGTCGCGTTCATGATTATTGCACTAATATGGCTGACGAGCCAACCTTAAGCCCCTTCATGCTGAGCGTCAAGCAGGGTAACAACACGTGCCATATTTTAACGTATTTTGGTATGGCGCGGCTGGGGATCGAACCGCCGACCTTCCGCTCTCCGAGTGGACGCTCTACCACTAGACCACGGAGGCGGTCATGATGCAAATGGTGTCAAAAGGATTATACAGAAGTTACGGAGCTTTTGAAGGCACGCCTTATATTTACAAAAAAAACAGGAACGTGATGACAATCACAAGTGACACGTCAGTGAGTACATTCCCAAACACTGTCATCTTGGGATATCACGACGTGAGCGACGTTTCCCTGATCATGCAATACCTTGGATCAGTTTTCATGCTGTGAGAGGCAATCACATGCCATACCCTCTGTAACAAACTCGAAACATAGCTCCGTTTAGGAACCCACACAATGTAGCAGAATCTTGTGTGCGATATTTGCGTTCCCGTCTCACAGTACGTTCTGTTCAGGTACTTGTGTTGGTACTTGACACATTTTGTTTCCGTATATGGATCAAATGGTTATGAATGAGTGGGTGAGTGTGGTTTTACGCCGCTTTTAGCAATATTCAAGCAATATCAGGGCGGGGGACACCTGAAAAGGGCTTCACACATTGAATTGAAGATATCGTGAATGGAATTGAAGATATCTTAAATACAGATAATTGTAGATATCTGCAATAATATGTAAGATATCACGAAATGAATTAAGGATATGGTGAAGCGTATAACTGATATCTTGAAAAATATTGCTGATATCTAAAATTCGATTATTGATATCAAATATGATTTAAAGATATCAAAATGTCATGTTTTGTTATGATGTCAGTAATTCAATTCCTGATATCTTGAAACTAAGTACAGATATCAATAATTAATTATTGATATCTTCAAATGTTGCCATTATTAAAGACGTTACTTTAATAATGTTACTTAAACTAGATAACATATATTAATAATTGATATGACGATATCATCAAAATTATTAATGATATCTTTAATTGGATTTATGATATCTTGAATTGAATTAAAGATATCTCGAATTGAATAAAAGATATCCTAAACGAATTAATGATATCTGTAATGCATTTGTAGATATGTATAACTTATTTCAAGATATCTTGAATTGAATTTAAGATAACTTGAATTTATTTCTAATATATTTATGTACAGTAGGATGGTAATTGTTTAATGATATCTTAAATACATTTAGAGATATCACAAACTAATTTGTTGATATCACCGTAACATTTTAAGCTATCGGTAATTGTATTATTGATATGAAAAAAAAAGAATTTAAGATATCTTTAATTATTTTTTGAAATCTTAAAAACATTATTGATATCTTTAAATAAAATACCGATATCTTTAAAACAATTGAAGATATCTGTAACTCCGTAAAAAATGGGAAAACGGCTTGCAATATTTCCGCACATTCCAGCAATACTGATGCACGTAATGTTGGTACATATTCCCAAACTGCATGTGTTGGACAGAAAAATGCGATCCGTCAGTTACACCTTTTGCCAGATTTTCAGAACAGGTTTTGCAAATTTTCTCTAAATTAAGAAACAATCGTAGTTCTAATGTGCAAGACAAAGCCCTTATTATGCACTGTATTTTATCAAGAACATAGTAAAATATCGATGTTGACTAATTGTCCTCGATGCGGGTGTCCGTACACACAGGCCCCGATTGACAGGAGTTGGCTGTACTTGTTTTTTCAACCTGTGACATTTCCAAGAGTTCCTTATTTGTTTTTACGTCTTTACCAGGGACGTTTTTCCCTCCCACACGCATTTCTTTCCCCATTCGATACAAAGCATACACATGCCTAATACGTCAGTATCCCCGAACCGCACGGAGCCTGTAAATGTGTTATGTGATATACGAAACTCGCTGATATATACACAAGCAGCTACGGCAACACAAGCAGGCGTTCCGTAGTTCCACCAATAAGATACAAAATATTATTCCGACCACCATCCTCAATTTTATTCGATTATGAATGAAAATCGAGTGCATCCATTGACTGGGTAATACTGTTAGCGCTTTGAACATGTACGTTGTGTATGGAGCGCAATCCAAGTACAAACATTATCATCTTCGTCATCATCATCATCATTATCATCATCATCATCATCATCAATAATAATAATAATAATAATAATATTTACAGATTAAAATAAATCATGCAGCAAAGAGGGTTTTGTTTATTATTATTTCTATTAATTCTTCTTCTTATTATTATATATTACTAAATAATAAGAATAAACTCTTTGCTGCATGATTTTTTTTAATCTGTAATTATTATCATCATCATCATCATCATCATCATCATTATTATTATTATTATTGTAGGTCTTTGATGATGGTAGCTTTACATTCACTGAACCCCTGTACAACGGGTCGTGTATGCTCATCAAGCAACACTTGCAACACACGGTTATCATGCTTGAAATAGTAATCGATTATTCATATTTTCTTTTTTTAGTGAAATAAAAACAAACAGTACATCGTTTCTCTACATTTATTCGTACACCATATCCAACAACAATAAAACATTCACTTTTGTGATGTGATACTCTACCACACATATACCCCCCTAAAAGTTCGCGAGTATGGTTATGCGCCGATGTTAGCAATATTCCAGCACTATCACGGTGGGGGACACCAGAAATAGGCTTCACACGTTGTACCCATGTCGGGAATCGAGCCCGCTCCTTCAGCGTGACGAGCGAAGTCAACGCCCTAACCTCTAAACTACCCCACCATCCCTGACCCCTGAGGAATGAATAATCCAAATCAGGTCAGATATGCTAATGTAAGATTTTGGTGGAAAAGCACAATGTCAACATATCATACTCAGCATATACATTGAGCCAGTGGTGTCATACTCAGAAACTGACTGTGCCGAGTTACGTCTCCTTCCTGTGCCAGGATCCGATTTTCGCCTTACCTTAAATCGTTTGCTTTTTTCTAAAATATGTTCAAATTAATCGTTCACAAGCAGCTTTAGTGACTTCGTGTGGCCATTGCACCATTTACGTTTTACGTTTGTCGGATACAGTGTTAAAGACAAAGTGCATTTGGCTTAGACTTTACGGTAGTTTCAAGACCTTCTCACAAAACTATCGTTAATTGCATGTCAGATATACATGTCAAAATATATACGGCGTGTGTGGGGAAACTAACGCGGACCTCACTTCCAGTGGAGGCAATGCACTTAGGCTGGGTTACCGCTCATATCCTCAACTATGTCACAATCTTCAAATCCTGTCTAAGGGTCACGCTGATTTGCTTTGCACTGTATGAGAACCACATTCCATCAGTAAACAGACGTTCGAAGTTGGAATTCGAGCATGACCGATAGCTGTACTAACGTAAAACGTCAACGCCAGAGAATAACCAGTCACGGTTATCTGCCGAAACAGATTCCTTTGGGCGTAATAGTTGTGAAAATGTTAATATATCACTGAAAATCCAATAACACACAAACTATTTTTTGTTTTGTTTTCTAATCAAGTAACGGTTCAGCGCGATCATCTGATAACCCAGTGTTACTGGAGCGAGATTTGACAGTATGTTTTCCTATAATGTTTGGTTTAGCTTGTTATTGTTCCCCGATTGAGTCGATTGTTGTTTGTGCTGTCAACCACGCGCTGGTATTTATTTACAGGATACCGAAAGAATATGAAATAATGCTGACTTGTGTAAATATAAATCGTGAACGTCGGAGAACAAAATCTCAGAAACAGAAATCTCAGAATCTCAGAAATCCAATCTCAGAGCGCAAAGGCCAAATCGTGGTGAAAAATTATTTGAATGGATGAGTGAGTGAGCATGGTTTTACGCCGCTTTTAGCAATATTCCAGCAATATCACGGCAGGGGACACCAGAAATGGGCTTCACACATTGTTCCCATGTCGAGAGTCGAACCCGGGTCTTCGGCGTGACGAGCCAACGCTTTAACCACTAGCTACCCGACCGCCCCATGAATGGATGACAGCAAATCAGTGATGGAGCAAGGTGTTGACTTGGTTTTACCGCTTGAGTGAAAATTTAACATTGAATGTTTTTCGACTAATGGGTTACGTTTGTCTCTTATCATTTAGTGTAATCGTAGTGACACATATATTCCTGTCAGGTTGTTGGCTAATATATGACTCGACTACATCGTCTCAAGCCGGCATATATATACCAGTAACGTGAGTTGGGAGTTCGAATCTACACTAATGCAACCAGACACCCATGTTGCTCGTTATCTCCCTTAGTCACATTGAACTCAGAGTTAGGGTCTGGGATAGAGTTTCAGCATCTTGACAAATATCTGCGTCATGTCATATTGTTGTTTTGCTCGTTCTTAATTATTTCAGGGGGCATGGGTGGTCCGGTCGTCCAAGGGGTTTCAATTCGCTGTGCAGAGTTGCGTCCCCTGGGCACGCCAGATACCTTTGATTGTGGGTTCGAATCCCGGTTTGCCCCGATTATGTTTTAGGTTTGTCTGCATCCCACCTTTGCTCGTAGGTTTCACCACCATGGTGAACAAAAAGCGGCGTTAAATCCAACTCACTCACTCACTGACTCAAGAGACCGTGATTTGGTTACTTAGCGTTAGTGAGTGCGTTGGGTTTAACGCCGCTTTTAACATTATTCCAGTTGTATCGCGGCGTGTCAGCTTAATGTGGGAGGAAAGCCCGAAGTGATGCAGATCTCAGACGTTTAGTACTTATTATCAAAAAATATTGATATCAGCAGCCAATCACATGAATATATCGTTAAAACATTGTATATCCGTAAAATCTTGAAATGATAGAATATATAATGACATAATATTCATAATATTAGTCTGGAATATTAGGAGATCATAATATCGGTAGGCAATCTCATTAATTAGTCGGAGTATTGGTTCTTCTATTGACAAAACTTCTAGGCTGTCCATTGAGTTAAGCAGTAGGATTGAAGTCAGCTCACAACTTAATAATCAGTTCGTGTACGTATGTCGTTTTTTTTGTTCTTCAAGGTAATATACATTCTCGGCGTTCCACCATTAGATCAGTAACATTTTTCAATCATGCTACGGCAGTACAAAAGAAATGTTGGTGACGTTTTATATTTATACAATACACATGTGTCCAGTTAAGGAGAGCCTAGGCTCCAGTTACTCTCTGACCCCCAGATGATTTTGTATTATTTTCCATCATTCTCATTTTCAGAAAAGAGATCCGAAATCCTGCCAATCCAAAACGACGGATGGCAAACACGAACACAGAGTCCTGGCGGTGAGTTACAAGGACTCCAAATTCGTCATCTTTGGTAAGAACGACGAGCAGATATTCCCACTGCAAACCAGTCAAGTTCGCAGCGTTGTTTATGATCCTGCTACAGAGAGTGTAATATGGTCCAACTACACCTCCAGAGATCCTGGGATATTCTCCAGCAGTCTTAAGACGCCTGCCAAGTCTACCAAGCTGTCTCGCTTGTCCTCTGAAGGGATGGCAATCGATGTCTGTAAACGACTGCTGTTCTTCACAACGTCCACGCCCCGCTACACCATCAGTAAGATGACGACGCGAGGCAGACATCTCAGAGAAGTGAAACACATGAAGAAATACGGCCCCTACATGTATTCCCTGGCCGTCGACCCCGATGCCAAAGTGATTTATACATGCCACTATTCCTTCTTAGTTAAGACAAGTTATGACGGGAGACGACAAGAGGAACTCATCAAGGATAGTAGCTCCATATTCGCCGTATCGCTCGACCCTACCAATCAGGCGCTGTATTACAGTTCCTGGGGCGGGATTAAACGCCTGCAGTTGGATAAAGGTCAGTCGGAAACCGTGGTGGAAATTCGCACATCTCCTCGTAACATTGTCTTCTACCAGAACAGGTTGTATTTTGATAACAGCAACTTGATTAAAGTCTTCGGCATCAAGAGCGACCGCATGAAGACCCTAGGAAAGCTTGATGAATCAACTCTGTCAATTTGTCTTATACCCTAACAGAGTCCATAAGATATCGGGATAATGCTCCCCGTTGACAGCCTTAGGCGGTCATAATAACAGAATGTATAATATCACAGGTGCAATATAGCATTTGAACAGGATCACTGGGACCTTCATTACACCAGAATTCTTTCGGACCAGATGACGCTGTCAATAATGATAGTACAGGACAATAGGCTTTAACAACAAATCCAATCTATATTTATATCAGTGTGTTTGTTAGCATGAGAGTATGGTATCGAGGACCATGGGATAGTTCTAATGACATGTTTTGTGTCTAGGATCAATAGTCGTTGATTTAAAACCTACATGGGAAAAAAAACATTTTAAAAAGACTGACATGGGTGCAAGGCGCGCAGGCCCATTGGAAATCCAAGCAGGGATGACACTAATAATTAAGAACCAGGTATTTGTAAACACAAAGAGAGTATAAACAAACTCCAGGAAATATTTTTTACCCTTATAGAACTGAGTAAATGTCTCAAGATCAGAATTTCTTTTGATACCAGTCCGTTGGGCATGGTCCTTTTTTAACGCTCGAACGAACGCTAAGTGTCTTAAGGATACGAATATGCAGAACGGTTCCTAGCGACCAAAGAATTGGCTGGGTTACTGACCCAGGTCAGTCAGTCTCCACAATGAAGTGTGGCACCACGTATTGGATGCTTGTGTGTGGGTATGCTTTTGTGTGATTGTGTGTGCTTATGGCTGTTTTAAGAGCCAATGACGACGGCGTGCATTGTTGCAAAGCTGTATATCCACAAGGCTTGAACCGTTTGACTGGTGTGAAAGCAGTGAGATGTTGAGGACGAATTCCAAATTTCTTGATGGACAATGACGCCGAAAAACATATACTATTTGACATTTTACAAATAGTTTTACACTTTATTTAAATTCAGCTATGAGGAAGTGTAATCTATATTAATAAAAAAATATAAGCAGTGTTTTGCGTTGTGTTTTATATTTGCAGAAATGCTCTGTGAATGGTATTTTATGCCACGGTTAGTTATATTTCTTCCCCATCACGGAGGTAAACCAGTGCCTGAAAGCACGAGTAATGCCATCGCATTACAATGACACACAATTTGCCATATTAGACGTCTCTTACGGCAAGCGTAACTATTGGGGCCCATTCTGAACTTGGGAGTTCCAACCAGCTAGGCTTTCCTGTCTCCAAATTTGTTTGTTCTTAAACGCCACAATTAACAATATTCCAACTGTATGACGGCGGTCTGTAAATAATCGAGTCTGAACCAGACAATCCAGTGATTGACATCATGAGGATCGATCTATGGAATTTTGATACGGTGACATGCATGGAACCAAGTCAGCGAGCATGACCACCCGATCCCGTTAGTCGCCTCTTTCGACAAACATAGTCGCCGTTTACATGCCAACATGGGTTGCTAAACCGTAAACTTCACGGGTTGAATATACATGCTCACAGACTTAAACATACTCATTTATTTTCGTGCTAATGAAATCGACAAAACAATTTCCATAATCACTGCATTATCGGTTGCATCCATCACAGACACATGCAAAGGCCAGTAACGTATTCACCCGAACAAACACGAAAACATATAGTAAAAGCCAAAGTAGGTAATTGCATCAGACATCATTTTGGTCACTAATGTGTCAAATTCAAAAATGTCCTCCACGTTTTCAAAGCTTTACTAACGCATTAGATTATGTAACCTTGATCAAGCAATTCAACTCTTGATAACGGGTCTTATGATGCTCTTTGAAATTGTACCTCTTGAGTTGTGAAATGTCGACACCAAATTTTGATATTTTATTGTCACAATAGTTGTGCATAGATTTAAATATGAAACAGATTAGGCGGTGTCACTAGTCTCTTTCATTCCTCATTCAGGTGGGTAAATCAGCAAAGGGAGTTGGCTATTTGACTGCTTTTGAACGATCTTACACCATCAAGCTTAAACACTTCTTAGCCAAATTCCATTTTTCGATTTTGCCAATCCAAGCTGAAATCTCAATTCATATGTATAAAGACACATACCAGCAAGGAGGGGATGCTCGTGGGAATAGGGATGGGGATGCCTCACGCTTGCCTAAACATCTTATCCCCAAATTTCATACACGTGTTATATATGAAGTCCAGCAGTCCAGTAGTCCAGCAGTCCAGCAGTCCAGCAGTCCAGAAGTCCAACAGTCCAGTAGTCCAGCAGTCCAGTAGTCCAGCAGTCCAGAAGTCCATAAGTACAGCAGTCCAGCAGTCCAGAAGTCCAGCAGTCCAGCAGTCCAGAAGTCCAGAAGTACAGCAGTCCAGCAGTCCAGCAGTCCAGCAGTCTAGCATTACAGTAGTCCAGCAGTCCAGAAGTCCAACAGTCCAGTAGTCCAGCAGTCCAGCAGTCCAGCAGTCCAGCAGTCCAGAAGTCCATAAGTACAGCAGTCCAGCAGTCCAGCAGTCCAGCAGTCTAGCATTACAGTAGTCCAGCAGTCCAGTAGTCCAGCAGTCCAGTAGTCCAGAAGTCCAGCAGTCCAGCTGTCCAGAAGTCCAGCAGTCCAGCAGTCCAGAAGTCAATAAGTCCAGCAGTCCAGCAGTCTAGCATTACAGTAGTCCAGCAGTCCAGTAGTCCAGAAGTCCAGCTGTCCAGCAGTCCAGCAGTCCAGCAGTCCAGCAGTCCAGAAGTCCAGAAGTCCAGAAGTCCAGCAGTCCAGAAGTCCAGTAGTCCAGCAGTCCAGAAGTCCAGAAGTCCAGAAATCCGGCAGTCAAGCAGTCCAGCAGTCCAGTAGTCCGGAAGTCCAGTAGTCCAGAAGGCCTGTAGTCCAGAAGTCCAGAAATCCGGCAGTCCAGCAGTCCAGCAGTCCAGCAGTCCAGCAGTCCAGAAGTCCAGCAGTCCAGTAGTCCAGAAGTCCAGCAGTCCAGCAGTCCAGTAGTCCAGCAGTCCAGTAGTCCAGCAGTCCAGCAGTCCAGTAGTCCAGCAGTCCAGTAGTCCAGCAGTCCAGTAGTCCAGAAGGCCAGTTGTCCAGAAGTCTAGTTGTCCAGAAGTCCAGAAGTCCAGTAGTCCAGTATTCCAGAAGGCCAGCAGTCCAGAAGTCCAGTTGTCCAGAAGTCCAGAAGTCCAGTAGTCCAGTAGTCCAGAAGTCCGGCAGTCCAGCAGTACAGCAGTCCAGCACTCCAGCAGCCAGCACTCCAGTAGTCCAGTAGTCCAGATGGCCAGTATTCCAGAAGGCCAGCAGTCCAGAAGTCCAATTGCCCAGAAGTCGAGAAGTCCAGTAGTAGAGTAGACCAGCAGTCCGGCAGTCCAGCAGTCCAGCCGTCCAGAAGTCCAGCTGTCCAGCTGTCCAGAAGTCCAGAAGGCCAGTAGTCCAGTTGTCAATAAGTCCGGCAGTCCAGCAGTCCAGCAGTCCAGCGGTCCAGCAGTCCAGTAGTCAAGCAGTCCAGTAGTCCAGTAGTCCAGTAGTCCAGAAGGCCAGTAGTCCAGCAGTCCAGTAGTCCAGTAGTCCAGTAGTCCAGTAGTCCAGCAGTCCAGCACTCCAGTAGTCCAGCAGTCAAGCAGTCCAGCAGTCAAGTAGTCCAGCAGTCCAGCAGTCCAGAAGGCCAGTTGTCCAGAAGTCCAGTTGCCTAGAAGTCCAGAAGTCCAGTATTCCAGTATTCCAGAAGTCCAGTAGTCCAGTAGTCCAGTAGTCCGGTAGTCCAGAAGTCCGGCAGTCCAGCAGTGCAGCAGTCCAGCAGTCCAACAGTCCAGCACTTCAGTAGTGCAGCAGTCCAGCAGTCAAGTAGTCCAGCAGTCCAGAAGGCCAGTATTCCAGAAGTCCAGTAGTCCAGTAGTCCAGAAGTCCGGCAGTCCAGCAGTCCAGCAGTCCAGCAGTCCAGAAGGCCAGCAGTCCAGCAGTCCAGCAGTCCAGTAGTCCAGCAGTCCAGTAGTCCAGCAGTCCAGTAGTCCAGTAGTCCAGTAGTCCAGTAGTCCAGCAGTCCAGTAGTCCAGAAGGTCAGTAGTCCAGAAATCCGACAGTCCAGCAGTTCAGCAGTCCAGCAGTCCAGCAGTCGAGAAGTCCAGCTGTCCAGTAGCCCAGTAGTCCAGTAGTCCAGCAGTCCAGCAGTCCAGCAGTCCAGCAGTCCAGAAGTCCAGTAGTCCAGTAGGCCAGAAGGCCAGTATTCCAGAAGGCCAGCAGTCCAGAAGTCCAATTGTCCAGAAGTCCAGAAGTCCAGTAGTAGAGTAGTCCAGCAATCCGGCAGTCCAACAGTTCAGCTGTCCAGCAGTCCAGCAGTCCAGTAGTCCAGAAGGCCAGCAGTCCAGAAGTCCTGTAGTCCAGTAGTCCAGAAGTCCAGAAATCCGACAGTCCAGCAGTTCAGCAGTCCAGCAGTCCAGCAGTCCAGCAGTCCAGCAGTTCAGCAGTCCAGCAGTCCAGCAGTCCAGCAGTCCAGCAGTCCAGAAGGCCAGCAGTCCAGAATTCCTGTAGTCCAGTAGTCCTGAAGTCCAGAAATCCGACAGTTCAGCAGTCCAGCAGTCCAGCAGTCCAGAAGTCCAGCTGTCCAGTAGTCAAGAAGTCCAGCTGTCCAGGTGTCAAGAAGTCAAGAAGGCCAGTAGTCAAGAAGTCCAGAAGTCCAGTAGTAGAGTAGTCCTGCAATCCGGCAGTCCAGCAGTCCAGCTGCCCAGCAGTCCAGCAGTCCAGCAGTCCAGTAGTCCAGAAGTCCAGCTGTCCAGGTGTCCAGAAGTCAAGAAGGCCAGTAGTCAAGAAGTCCGGCAGTCCAGCAGTCCAGCAGTCTAGCAGTCCAGCAGTCCAGCAGTCCAGCAGTCCAGCAGTCCAGTAGTCCAGCAGTCCAGTAGTCCAGCAGTCCAGTAGTCCAGAAGGCCAGTAGTCCAGTAGTCAAGAAGTCCGGCAGTCTAGCAGTACAGCAGTACAGCAGTCCAGCAGTCCAGTAGTCCAGTTGTCCAGAAGTCCAGAAGTCCAGAAGTCCAGCAGTCCAGTAGTCCAGAAGTCCGGCAGTCCAGCAGTGCAGCAGTCCATCAGTCCAGCAGTCCAGCACTCCAGTAGTCCAGCAATCCAGCAGTCAAGTAGTCCAGAAGGCCAGCAGTCCAGAAGTCCTGTAGTCCAGTAGTCCAGAAGTCCAGAAATCCGACAGTCCAGCAGTTCAGCAGTCCAGCAGTCCAGCAGTTCAGCAGTCCAGCAGTCCAGCAGTCCAGCAGTCCAGTAGTCCAGAAGGCCAGCAGTCCAGAATTCCTGTAGTCCAGTAGTCCTGAAGTCCAGAAATCCGACAGTTCAGCAGTCCAGCAGTCCAGCAGTCCAGAAGTCCAGCTGTCCAGTAGCCCAGTAGTCCAGTAGTCCAGCAGTCCAGCAGTCCAGCAGTCCAGCAGTCCAGAAGGCCAGCAGTCCAGCAGTCCAGCAGTCCAGTAGTCCAGCAGTCCAGTAGTCCAGCAGTCCAGTAGTCCAGTAGTCCAGTAGTCCAGTAGTCCAGCAGTCCAGTAGTCCAGAAGGTCAGTAGTCCAGAAATCCGACAGTCCAGCAGTTCAGCAGTCCAGCAGTCCAGCAGTCCAGAAGTCCAGCTGTCCAGTAGCCCAGTAGTCCAGTAGTCCAGCAGTCCAGCAGTCCAGCAGTCCAGTAGTCCAGTAGTCCGGTAGTCCAGAAGTCCAGAAATTCGACAGTCCAGCAGTTCAGCAGTCCAGCAGTCCAGCAGTCCAGAAGTCCAGCTGTCCAGTAGCCCAGTAGTCCAGTAGTCCAGCAGTTCAGCAGTCCAGCAGTCCAGCAGTCCAGAAGTCCAGTAGTCCAGTAGGCCAGAAGGCCAGTATTCCAGAAGGCCAGCAGTCCAGAAGTCCAATTGTCCAGAAGTCCAGAAGTCCAGTAGTAGAGTAGTCCAGCAATCCGGCAGTCCAACAGTTCAGCTGTCCAGCAGTCCAGCAGTCCAGTAGTCCAGAAGGCCAGCAGTCCAGAAGTCCTGTAGTCCAGTAGTCCAGAAGTCCAGAAATCCGACAG